TTTCTTCTTTATGTCAAAATTTCCTGAAATGGTCCGTATTCGAGAAATTTGACAAAATGTGCAAAATTCTAAGTAAAACTATTATTTATGTTTGGAGAGGAAAATTGTTCAAATAAAAGTTACTTCTAATTTTATTATCTATAATTTTTGCTTTATGTCAAAATTTCCTGAAATGGTCCGTATTCGAGAAATTTGACAAAATGTGCAAAATGCTGATTTTTATGAAAATTGTTGAACTAAAAGTTGTTTGCGATATCGATCTCTATAATTTTTGTTTATATATGATTTTTCTAAAATGGACCGTAATGGAAAAATTGAAGGAAGAGTGCTAAATTTAAATTTTTCAGTATTTTCGTTTTCAATTAATATCTATAGAAAAATGTATATATTTAGTTTTTCCTCTAAATATTTATAGAGGTGCTGCAATAGGTTGTACAAAATAACCGGAAAAAGCCTATAATAACTAGATAGGAAAGTAGAACACCAAAAAAGCAATGTTGACCAATTTATAATATTGCAGAAAAAATGCTACCACATATTCCTGAGGCATAAATATAACGATTTAACCCAACTTACATTAGTCCAAAAGTGGATGATTTCGGAAATACAGCGTTAAAAGTTCAATTTAGTTTTTTATAAATAATTTTTTTAATAATTGGTATATTTTTAAAATATTTGGCTAGGAGGGGTTTGTGGGATGAATAATTTAAAGCTGCTTTCATTTTTATTGTAAAATTTAAAGGACGCCTTTTTATAAGTCCAGATATCTCAAGAACGGCTGCTCAAATCCACTCTTACCACTTATACCTTGCAGAACAAGAATTTTTATTTAAAAGTTAAAAAAAGTAATCGTTTTAAATGTGTGTAAGGTACCGCAAGTAGCGCCCTTTAAATTTTACAATAAAAATGAGAGCAGTTGTTATTTTTGTAGACTACACTGTACAGTTTTGTAGTTTTTTTTTTTAAATATAAGTTAAAAAAACAACATATGAATAGTAGTATCTTTATTTTGTAAATTCGTTATAATCTCGGTTATAATATTTTAATTATTAATAATAAAGTTTAAAAAAAAAACAAAAATGAATAAGAAGTGCCTATACAACATAATAAGTGAAAAGACAAAATACATCTTGACATTTACATTGAAACAGAAACAAAGAATACAAAGTAAGTTAATCTACATTAGAAGATTCATTATGTTTTTAGCTGCCACCTCATTTATTTGTGCCTCTATCAATTCTATGAGATTTAACTCGCAGTGATATGGGGCAGCCACTACACAACTTTATTGGTTTCTTTAGCCATTTCATCGACAACATACAAATTATGTGCATCTTTATGTTGCCGAATTAGGTGTAAAACTTGATATCGCTTCATTATAAATAAATTTAATATTTTTAGTTTGTAACTACTCCTGCATTTCAAATTGTCTTGATGACAAAGGAATTTTTTCAACTTTTCGACTATGATATGATGCATTTTCCATCACAATCATAGTATCATTAGGAAACTTTGTAAAAAAAAGTAGAAAACCAATTCTAAAATACTTCGGATTTCGTCTCTTCATGGTAAATGCATTTTCTATAAAACCTTCAGAATTAGCATGTATAATATTAAGGCGCCTTCCCTTTCTTGTAAGGCTTTTTAGGCCCGTGGATAAACCTTACTATGACCTTCATCTAAGTAAAAGCTTGGCCTGTTTTCTATATTGTTTGATGGATTTTAAATCAACAATTTCTTTTTAAATATCTGAAAAAAAATATAGATAATAAATAATTAGTGTATTTGACTGTTCAAAATTACAAACTTACTAAGTTATTATGTTTCAAGAAAGTACAATATAAAGATGAATAATATATTTGTGGCAAATCTAAATGTTTCAATTCTTGCAAAATATTCAATCTGGATAACTCATTTTTAAAAAAGAAACCGTGTACTATCTTCCAACAGCATTTATAATCTCTCATCAAATGTTTCTAGAAGTCCTCGTCTTACATACTTTTTTGACTAGATATTGTTCCATTATTGCGGTATTATTTCAATAATCGGTAAGTAAGTTGACTTTGCAATACATGTAGGAAAAATTTTAAGTATTTAATATTATTTTTGATTTGAAAGTAATGAGTAAAACTTACCGGTGGCTTGAGAAATTTTGGATATAACATCAACAATTTTGGTTTTTGTATTATTGTCCAATACCTATTTGTACATATTTATTATTTACTGCTTTTCCAGTATCTTAAAGCTAGAGAAACCAATCGAGAATCCGTTGAAATGACAGTTTGTTGGACCGCTTTGACTCAATGTCAAAATTTAAACCTAGTTTCAATTGTTTAATGAAAGCAAATCCAAATTCGCATTTTCGCCATAATAGTCTAATTTTTCAAATAAAAAATATAAAGGGTGTGCAGCGCCACCCGCAGTAGTTTTGTCTATGACATTGTTTTCTCTATAATATTACTTGCAGGGTTTAAAGCCACCCATCACAGTTGATAGTAAAACACATTTTATCATTAAAAAATATTTTTTATTGCCTATAGTAAAGATAATAACAAAAAATATTAATAACAACATTATTGTTGGCTACACACAAATTTTACCACCTTTCAATTTCGGTTATTTTGCTATGAGTTAAATTTTTTGTACTACAAGTAGCGTAAGCGTCCAATTGTCTTTAAATAAAGTGTTATGGGTAGTTTTAATATCCTACAGTTCAACCAGCGTGAGTTTTATTTTAAAAATAGGACGTATAATTTTTTGTGAACAAAAATAACTACTGATTTGAGCTAAAGTCACCCATGCGAGTCAAAGTCACCCGACTTTACAGTACCAAAAATTAATTTCAATGCTACAGACTACTTTGAGTTAATTTACTGGAATGAGTACGATGTGACACCGCCTCCCGTTTTAAGGGATTTTACTGATGATAATCTTAGGGACCTTATAAACGAAACCGAAATTCCAGACTTTGATTTTCCGTAGTTCCCTTGCCATACTCAATCCGTGGAGAGATGCGTAAAATTAGTTACTGAGTAATCTTCTTTAGTAATTGGTCCAGAATCAAGAAACGGCTTTATTCGCTCAAGAACAAAATCAAAAGAAATTATACCAACATTTGAAAGTAAACGACAGTTTAAAATTGAGTACCTAAATGTTTTTTTTATTAATATATTTTTTTTGTACTTGATGTGTTAGCTATAATTTTGTATTTGATTTGTAACCTTTTTTTTTATGTTTGATTTGTTAGCTTTTTATGTATGATTTCTTTAGGACTTTTTACCATTTTTTAAATAAATGTGTTGTTTAGTTTTAATCGTGTAATATTTATTTGTTGTTCAAGTAATTTTTACCTTATCTTGTAAAGACAAAAGGATTAAACATTGGTTAAAAGGGTAGTAGAGGGCTGAAGATGTTATTTAAAAATATTAATAATAAAGAGTGTGAATACAAACACTAAAATGTAACTTTCAGTAGGTCAAAATTTCAAACTTTAACTTTTCACCCCTAAAGGGGGAGGCAGAGGACTAAAAATGTGGATTTAGATATTTAAAAAAAAAATTACTAAAGTAAGCACATCAAAACGCAAGTTTGGTTAGGTATTATAAACTTAATTTTTATATTTTTTTAAAATATGCCTATTTCGGCCCAGCCTATTGTACAACCCTAATATTTTTCATGTAGGTATACGTTCAAGACTAGTATATAAAATTGTGCTGGAGAATGTATAAAGTTTTTTAAAGTATTTAGCTCATAAAAAAGATGGGATATATCCAAAAAGTGATAATAGTGACAATAATATTTGTGACAGATTCGAAATTTTTTTTAACACGATTTTATTAGTTTCACCTGTATGTATGTATGTATGTATGTATGTATGTATGTATGTATGTATGTATGTTTGTAACTCTACTTTGTACTAAAAGAAACTGTGGCCTATTACTGTCAGTATATCCCACTACCTCAAGTTCGTTCGTTGGCCGAGCGGTCTGAGACGCGGGTCGTCGATTGCCAGACTCACCGATCGTGGGTTCTAATCCCGTCCACGGCTGAAAAAAAAAATAATTGTTTTTTTTTTCAGCAATTTTTTTTAATAATTAATCGAACTAAAAAGTAAAAAATAAATATAGTTTAAAAAACTAGAAAACACGCTTTTAGAGCATATCAAACTAAAAAATTAAAAATAATTTTTCAAATAAGCTTAAAACAATAATAAATGGAAAATACTAGTATTATTGTAAAAAAAGCGTCGGGTGCTCGATGTACGAGAAATATGGACAAAGCGCCCCACGCTTTTTTCACAATAATACTAGTATTTTCCATTTATTATTGTTTTAAGCTTATTTGAAAAATTATTTTTAACTTTTTAGTTTGATATGCTCTAAAAGCGTGTTTTTTTAGTTTTTTTAAACTATATTAGTTTTTTAAAACTATATTTATTTAGTTTTTTAAACTATATTTATTTTCACTTTTTAGTTCGATGTATTATAAAAGCGTGTTTTTTAGTTTTTTTAAACTATATTTATTCTTGGTCAGATTGATTGTTCTGATTTGTTATCAAAAATAATATTTTTAAACTACATCGATTGAACTCAAATGTATTTAGAACCTCTGCAAATAGAATTCATTTGGATTTAGAGTTTATAGATAATACATAATTACATCTACTTTTACAATATATTTTAGATTTTATTTTATTTTAAAGCTATTGTAGAAGATTATATTAAATTTCAGCTGATTTATAAAGTAGATTCGTTTTCTTTTAACACCTAGATAATATGACTGCAAAGCTATAGATAAGAGTGAAAAACAAATAAGACAATTAGGTACCGCTAATGATTATTTGGTATTATATTACACAATTTATTTGTTAAAAAAATTTACATATAACTTTTCCACTCAAGGCGTTATAGTAACTACTGTTATTAAAATAAATTTGGTTTTTTAATAAATGTTTTACTATAAATATTTTATTTATCAAATAATATTCTTTTTTTTTTCAGCCAAGATTTGATCAAATGGAATGGATGGGGTTATAACGATTCAAAATTTGTGATTAAAGAAGGTCCCGAAATATATTTTTCTGGGAAAAGGTAAATTCTTAAAACAATCTTAGGTTTTTTAGATTATTGCAGCTTATTACTTCATGTGGATTAATTTCGAGATTAGAATTAGTGTTTATGGTTTACTTGTAATTTTTTGGTTAAATGCAAAACTGTTTTCGTGAATATATTAATTTGCTTGACATCTTCTTGAAATAAATAACTACCTTTAGTACATACTGTGATTAGAATGGTTAATTTTTAATTCATTAAAGTAGGTACTTACTTTAAAATTTTAACAAATTAAACCATTTAGAAATGTTATTAATTTAGTCGTTAGATAAAAGCGGACCAAAATGTGATTCTTGCGACATATCTCATTTAGAAATTGGAGAAAAATTGATCACATACTTTTACAGTTATTTTTTCGCAATATTATCTGCTAAATAGACAGTTTTTTTTTAAATATTTGTTTTAGATATCCAATAGGGGAGCAACGGCTCCCCCATATATACGATTGGGCGAAAGACGTTTTGAATGTCGACTTGGCCACAGCGAAACCCAAAAAAATCCAAGGATTACCCAGTGAAGATTTGTACCCTAAGCCGAACATTACAGCAGAAAATTTAGATAAAATATCCAGTTTGGGAATCTCATATTCTACCAAGGTCAGCAAAAAAAAAATAAATAATGCACATTGTATATACCGGGTGTCCACGTGAAAGCTTCAGATGACTTTATTTCTGGTAAAATTTAACTTGGAATCTTGAATTTTTGGGTTAATAGGTGGGAAATTCTGTGATAAAATGTGCTGCCATCTATCAAATTGGAGTGGTACTAAAGTCAAAATGGCCGCTAGGAGCAAGCTTTTTGAATTTTAATGTTCTGCTAATTTGGCAAAAATGTAATAAAAAATAAATTGGCCCAAAATAGTGTGGAATTTTTTTCTCAGACTCTTGGTCCTAATTTTTTGGTCGTCCTTAAAATGACGACTGCATATTCTATATGATGTATTATAAAATGCATCACTACTAATATTTGTGAGTGGTCTGTTGATCGTAGCTAAAACCCATCTTTCGAAAGAATAATAAAATTTGGAAGGTAGTGGAAATATATCAGAATGAATCATAATCCAAACAACCTTCAACCGTTAGCTTGAAGTTTACAACTGACACTGACAACTGTCATTTCGACACGAGCACCATTCCGGTAATTGAAATGGTACTAGTTATTTGCCTTAATTTTAAATTATTCATTTCATATTCATGAGAAAGCAAAAAGTAACAAAACTTCTAATAGATTCTTTAGAAATATTTGTGATCAAAAAATTTAAAATATCTTAATACTTCTGAAGGTATCATTTGGGAAGGCGAGACCGTGACAGGAGACAGCAGCAAGCGACGGCGTAAAGCGACCGAAAACGATCTCTTTACGTCTGAACACATGTAATTAAATGGAACACATTTGGCAGAGCGCGACCGATGAAAGAGACGTGACACCACTAAACGGTAATATTTGCTGCCTTGCTGCTGTCGTCTGTCTTCTGCCTTGGTATCGCGTTTGAGTGTTTTTTTTTAATTCCGCAAAATAAAACATAATGATCTACATGTATTACAAAAAGATTTATTTTTAGTTAATAAAGAATGACACTACCAAGATAGCACAGACACGTTTTAAAAACATCTTAGTTACGTTTGTTCTCGACGTTCGTGATGTTTTGAAGATCTACGCTAATATCCAAAAGATGTTTTAAAGGCGTTTATAGGACGTATATTGTTACAAAACAAGGCGCCTTTAGGACATCCAATTTTATACGTCTTTGAGACATCCAATCTGGGCGTGGTAATTATCATGCAATCCATTTTTTATGTTAAATAAAAATAAGTGTGAAGAAACAAATTCTTTAGTTATAAAAAGTACACACAAAAATTACTTTTTAATTGGTAAATTTATACATTTTTTGTCAAGTTTACTTTGAAAATACTCAAAACCAAGATGCATAGTATTACTTCAAAAGTGACCGTTGTATTGGGACATGGAACTACTGTTTCACAGCTATTTTCCTTTAAGTGGATAGGACAACTTCATGCTAAAATAAAAAATGTAAATTATATAATTTTTCACTGTCTCTAAGCCTATTATACTAACCATTGTTTAAATTAAGTTTGTCCTTTCTTTGATAAGAATTTATCCACATTTTGTGGCATTCGGAAATATCTTACATTACACTATTTTAGGATTTCGTATTATGGTTTTTGCAAGTCGCCACCGCGCAGCCCGGCATTCTTAACATTAATTCAGTTCTTGTCTGTTATATACAGGAAAATATAGTCTCTACTAACACAAAAACAAATTAATTATTACATTATTTTGCACTATTCAAACGAAAAGTTTCAAAAAAACTTGAAAGCTCGTCCCGCATTACGTCACTGCGCGGTTTGAACAAAATTTTAATCGAAAGTCAGCATACCGTTAGTCTGTGTATCGTGGTTGTAAAAAATATGTCTTCAATTCATATTACTTCGATTTAGTATGTGCTTCAATTGCATAGGGACCGTGTGTCATGACTTTAACGCCATCTGGTGACAAAAATGTGAACTTTGTTTTATACGCCATTTATTGTTTGGTAATTATCAATTAAATAAAGTCGAATTATTTTCGTAATATCATTATCGAAAAAACTTGTTGCATCCGTGAATATACAAACACATCACTTTGGAAACCTGGATTTGATTCGATAGTAAAGAAATTTTATAAATTTCCACAGAACACAGTGTCTCACACCCCATGATATACATAATTACATAGATTGCTTAACCATATGTAAATCAGACGACGCAAAGCATATTTCACTGGGCAAAGATTTCTTTTTATCTAGCTTGTACCAATTTTGAGCACTTAGTTGTAAACAAATCATTTACAGAACCGGTTTAGAAATTAGAATCTTTTGTGTTTTCTTGTCATTAAGATTTTTACATATGAACATTTTATATAAATATAATTTTACAGATAATTAATGGTTTATTACGTTCATTAAAACTAATGTAGAATGTAACTGTGAAATTAGAATGTCCAATTTGACAAAAATATCATAGCCCTCTTTACACTTTATTGACTATTTCTCATTTATCACTAAAATAAACAAATCATAATTAATACATTGCAATTACTGTCAAAAGAGATTACAACAAACTTTAAAATATTAAAAATCCGGTGATATTTTGTAAAATTTTTAGTAACATTACCATTAAATATTACTCAGAATAATAGATAAGTGTCCAATTACAACTCTTACAAAAGTTGTTTATATTTCATATCAAAGTTATTTACATTACCTTTTCAAAGTTGTATTACATATTGCAATTATTTGTTTTATATAGTGTTATTTCTGAAAATAGAGTGGTCTAAAATTATTTACATCCATCTGTTATAAAAATTGTTTAGACCTTAATATTATTTAACTACATGGAAACTCACTTTCAAAATACATAATAACGTGTCTTGAAGTAAAACTTTTTTTTTTCTAAAGCTTAAAATGCTAAAATTTTATTTTAAAACACATTTTGTTTGGAACGGCTCTATTTAGTGGGCACTAGGAAAGGCAATATAGCAGTGCACATTGCAACCCGCTTTTCGTAATCTTTTTTATAGATGGGTGAGCAATCTATATAATTATGTATATGATTGGGTGTCTCATAAACGTCTAAGGTGGATGAATGACATTTCGACTAACATAAACCTAAAAAGAATTATTATTATTCTCTTTTCTTTTATTAATTTACATTTTTTAAATGTTATTGTAATACTTTTAAATTCAGTGTTACTAAATACCGATATTTTGACATTGGATACACTTGCTTGAGGTACAACTTTACAATTTATTGTCACTTAGCCATGTAAATCTTTTTTTTAGTTACGGGCCGGTATCTATATTTAAATATATTTAATATTTTAAAAAATATCCTTTATTATTTACTTGAAATGTTTACTCCATTTAATTCTAAAATTAAACACTAGAGAGGGCTAACTTCGGCAGTAGTGCTGCCTCTATATTTCACGCACGGTCCCTATAGTTGATAAATATTGCTCACTAAAAAAAGGATTTAAAAAATTTATATTGGTTAACAAAAACTGCCAAACTACGTATAAGCAAGCAAAACATAATTATATTAAAATTTAATAAAGTCTTATAGAAAACTAATAATAATAATAATAATAAAAATAAAAAACTGTTTCAAATATTGTGAACCAGGACCCGTGAGCTGACTTTAATTATCGCCCTATTTCAATTTTAAATGTATTTTTTAAGTTTTTTTTTTTTAAATCGCATACATTAAAATGAAGAATTATTTAAATAAGTTTAGCGATATTACTAATTTATTACTAACTTCACTGAATATGTATATAAATGGTGTGTTCTTTGACTTTTCACGGGCCTTCAATTGTCTAAATTTTTAATTTATTAAAAATAAATTGTATAAGATTGGATTTAGAGGAATATTTTTACAGTGTTTGTTAAATTAAATGACTAAGTCAAATAATTACCCATTTGACATGGGCGTATCTTAGAGGTTTGTACTTGGACCGTTACTATTTTTACTTTTCATTAATGACCACAACGTATAGATGCAAATATGACTTTATTTGCTGACAACACGTCACTGCCCTTATTACAGACATTTGAAGAATTTAAAATAACATGTGAACGTCTAATTCAAAATTTTATAAATTGATGTTTTAAAAATGGCCTAATGGTAAAAATTGACAAAACAGTGTATTTCTTTTAAAACAAGTAGTACCACCAACAGTATCCCATTTGAATTAGCTATTAACCATAAAATTTTAACATCATTAAATTATACAAAGTTTTTAAGCTCGTTCATTGACAGTAATTTAAAATTGAGTAATAACATAGACGAACTTAGTAAATATTATGGAATCAGTAAAATTAGAAACTCTATGCCTATAGGTACTATAATCAATGTATACATGTAAACTCATGCTATTAGATACAAAAAATTTAACGGTTCCTTGTATTTACATTTTAAATTGTTGGTTATATAAAAGATAAACATAAGTAATTTAACAAAACTATCATCATCATTACAAAACAAGACATACTTAGTTGCTCTGTACTCCAAATCATAAAACATCTCAATTTTAATTATCATCAACATAATAAAAGTATTCGACTTTATAATCGCCAAATATATTTTATTACAAAAATGCTACTAGTTAAATAATATTTGCAGGAAAATTAAATATGCTTCCTCTTATATTTTAGTTGTAGGGTTTTATTAGTCTAAATGTGTTTTTTTTTTTTGTTTTGACTCTTTTATACATTTTTGTAATATCACGCTCTTAATTTACTAGGGTGTTACTTTAGTCAGATATTTTCGATATTTTTATATTTTCAATTTAATGGGAAATTTCCCATCTGTAACCTTTTTTAGGTCATCGACAGGCTTATACGAGCACACGGTCAAACTCTACACGAAATATACACCCTTCAAAATTCCACATTCACCAGGATACCTGACATCGTCCTTTGGCCCACGAGCCATAACGACGTCGTCAAAATAGTCTCGTTGTCAAACGAAAGTGACATAGTCGTCATACCATTCGGCGGAGGTACTGCTGTTTCCGGAGCCCCAGAATGCCCACACAATGAATCGAGAACAATCATCTCTCTGGATACGTCACAGGTATGTTATTTATCTTATTTAAACAATTACTGGGAATATTGCTCGATAACTAAGTGGCCTAACACAGAGATGAGTCTAATTCGAAGGAATATTCTTTACCATCATCTTTTATATACCTACATCGATATCAATTTAAGCGACTCACATTCTATGTCATATGAAATATCTAAAAAGGCCGTGTGTAGATTGAACGAAAACCTGTCAGAAACTTGAAAAATAGATATGGATGCAGATATTTATATCTGTGATTTGGAAAGACTTAAAGGTACAATTTCTTAATTGAATGTTGTTTACAAATACATAGCTGTTGTCGCAACATCGGTACTATCGGAACCATTATTATATAAAGAATGACGAACTTTCTATGAATAATGGAACATATTATGAAAGAAATTAAATAAATATTTTTACAATACAAGTTCTAAATATTGGGACCAGTAAATGTTTTGATATAGTAACTAGTGTATTCCATGTTTTCTTACTTATTTATTTTCCTTTATTAAAAAGTTTCTACTTTCAAATGTTGATATTTCCGATGCATCGCAAACAGCGATGTTTTCCCCCGAATTAAAGCAAAGGTTAAAAACTAGGTTGCCGAATTTAAGCATGTTCGTATGAGCATAAATGGACGTCCAAATACTATTACTGCCCGGATATGATTGAGTAAGTCCACCGTATAGCAGATATAGTGGTTATCTCAAAGTATGCACATCCTTTTAAATGAAAAATTGGAAATGAGAAATTACTCGGCACGTTGGGTGACGCGATTGCTCACACCGGAGCAAAAACTGAAGGACTTTACACGTTTCATAACCGTTGATGAAACCTGGGTCCACCACTATACTCCCAAAACCAAAGATCAGTCCAAACAATGGACACACAAAGGTTATCCGCCGCAAAAGAACTGGATTTTGGGATTCTCATGGAATTATCTTGGTCGACTATTTGGAAAAGGGAAAAACAGTATATTGCAAGTACAAATTTGCTGCAACAACTTGGCGACAAAATCAAAGAGAAACAGCCTCATTTTGTAAAGAAGACAGTGCTCTTCCATCAGGATAACGCAACTACGATTGCAATAGCCAAAATTCATTAATTTGGATTTGGGTTAGTGCTACCCATTTCCCAGATTTAGCTCTCAGCGATTATCATGTTTCCAAACCTAAAAAAATGGCTCGGCACTAAGAGATTTAAGACTCATGACTGGGCATGTCCCAGTAAAGGAACACCAGATAAAATAGGCGTGTATAATGGAGACCTATTGTGTCGATTCTGCCACAAGGAAGCGGAAACACAAACTGTGCACTGCGAGACATTGGATCGCAAAAGACAGGGAAACCACAGGTTGATCCAAGAACCTACAGAACACCCTGTCAAAGACTTGTACAAACTAGTACAAGGGACTAAGTTGACAGAGTAGGTTCTATGAATTAATATGGGTCAAATACAATAGGCCATTAGACCTCAGTGTTATCGGAGAGTAAGTTAGACGAGCCCAGGAAAATAAAAAGAGATTTTCGTCTAATTGTTGCTGTATTTAGCTGTTTCGAGGACTTGGATTCATCGACCTAAAATAAGGTATTGTTACTTTCGAAAAAAACTTGCTAGGCCAAGTAGTTATCGAATAATCCTTGCTAGGCCAAGTAGTTATCGAATAATCCTCGTGTACTTGAAGAATGAAGAAGTGTAAGTTCTCAGAAATCTAATAAAATTATGATCTCGTAATCCATAGACATAGGAATCTAATAAAATAAATATAGGTACTTATTTATTTACAGATCACCAATTTTAAATATATATCCCATTACTTTAGATGAAATTTCTACTACAGTTACACTATTTGAGAGCTTTTGTTGTCTAAAGTAGTTGAAACATTCACTACAACCGACTTTTCATTAAATGATATGCCTGTTTTTGAGTTGAGTCTACCCATAAAAAGGCTATTAAACAAAAATTATTCATTTCTATAAATATACTTAAGGTACGTCTATGATCGAGGGAAATCGCCCATAGAAATCTGTCGTATATGCGCGGTTGACTTTAAACGAAGCTTTCGGGAAAATATACTTCCTGGCATTCATTTTTATATTAAAAACCGTTCATGTAAAGACTTCTTAAGAAACGGAGTTGTTCTAAAGTACTCAAAAAATGACTTTTGGTATCTAAACCACATATTGACTTACCTAAACATATTTACATGTTGTCTTTCCGTTACAACCCGTATAACCAATACAGAAAAGTAATGAAACACATCACCCAAGTAACACAAAACTCTACTACTAGCAAATAATGCTGGCACAAGCATTAAATGCGAAAAAAAGGCCAAAGATTAGCCCGTTTTTAGCATTTGATTAAGGCTTTATTTGAGAATTCGTTTGAAGCAGTCAAATCGCTTTGACTACTAATTATAAGAGCGAATTGGCATTTATTGCCAACAGGCCACAGACACTAATCAAAAAGTAGAATTAATTGCTTTTCTAAATGCCAAATAAAAGCGCGGCTAGTTGGCATTTAAATTAGAATTATTGCATACATTAATGCCTCATTTACTGCTTGCTAACAACTATGCTTTGAAGTCATATATTGGCATTAATCTGGATTTTAAATGGCAATAAAATCAAAAAAAAATCACCAAATATTGCTAACCTCAAATCCTTTTTGTGGACTAAACAGCGTCATGGAAAAAAATACTGTGCTATTTGGTAAAATATCAAAATTCAGAAAATTTGGACGGACCGGTGCATATAATAGGCGCCTAAATAAAAGTAAACAAAGTGTGCATCCAAATAATAAGAAATTGGGTTTCAATATGGTCCAGCTTCCTTCTTCGTCTCGCCAGGATAATACTCGTCAAATATCTACTAAGGAAGTCGATAATCAAATTATAGATGAAGTCAATTTTGAATTTATTGATTACGAGGACAGTGACAATTCTGAGAATAATGATAATATAGTGGAAAGTAACGTTCAGCTTTTGCGGTAATGGGCTCTGAATTTTAACATACCACACACTGCACTGAAAGCTTTATTGGGAGTGTTACATAAAATGAATATAGAAAACATACCAAACGATCCCAGAATTTTACTGGAAACACCAAGAAAAATTACCATTGAGCCAATGGGAAATGGTCAGTATTGGCATGGGGGACTTGGTAATGCAATGACAGAAATATTTAAATTAAATCAACATTTTCCTGATGAGGTACTTTTAAACTTTAACATTGACGGACTGCCCATACATAATAGTTCTAAGAAACAAATTTGGCCAATATTATTTTCAGTGGAAAATATGGACATACCCCCAAAGAGCATTGGTATTTTTTATGGTGAAACGAAACCACCGTCTGCAACTGAATTTTTAGAGAAATTTACTGTAGAATTATTATCAATTCTCCAAAATGGAATCATAATAGGTTCTCGAAAAATTTCAGTTCGAATCAGATGCTTTATTTGTGACACTCCTGCTAGGTCGCAATCTTATACGCAACCTTAAAATTCTAATATTTAACATAACCTCACAAATTTTAATTTTTCAAGCTTCCAAGCAGCACATTCGGTAGCCAATTAGCATACAATGCCAGTGAGCTTTATTTTGGCATCGGTGACTGCTTAGTTGACACTCCAGACAAACATGGATGACCCGTTCATTTACGACTTTAACTGTGTTGCCAAAGCGTCTGAAAATATATAGGTACCAAGAAAAATTTAGATATTTTAATTGAACCCTACGAGGTGCCCCATTATTAATGCACAATTACTGGATAACAGTTTATTATCGTGAAATCCAAAAAAATGTATAAACGAAGAAGGCTTTTTAGAAATGAATACAATAGTAGTCTGTGCAACAAGAGGATATGATTCTCATATCGCACGAAGACGAAATTTGAGCACGATGACAGAGTGCTCAATCGTCTGAGTGCGATATGGACAATCCACTCGAGTTGTACAGTATATTTTTTTCTACGACCCACTTGAAAATCTACAAATTTTAAAAATTAATTTAGAGGTTAATAAGATAAAATCAGAATTTGAATAATAATTTATAACTTTTTCTAATTTATAAAATAAAATAACTTTGAAAAAAAAACATTTTTTACCTATTCGGGATTCGAACCGCTGACCCCTTGCATGCCAGACAGGTACGCTAATATCTGAGCCAATTACACTTATGACAATATATTATTTAAAACTGCTAATTAAACTGCTTTTAGATAGTTTAATTAAAATTTATGATTTATTTGTAAATATAGACGAAATATCTTGTGAACTATTATTTTTTTATCGATTCTACACAATAATCACTCGTTTTTAATTACATTTAATCTCAACAACTAAAAAATATAGTGCCAATTAGTTTGACAGGATTGTCACTTATTTAAAATATTAAAAATAATAGTAGTTGGGTGTCCAAAATATGAACTGTGATTGGCGGATTTCATTTTCAGGCAGTTTTCTTATAAGGTAGAATGGATATGAAATATATTCGTTCAGTTGAACGCAATGGCCTACTTTTTCGTTTTTTATTCTGTGCGTAGATTAGCTAATATCCATGTGGGTGCAGAAAAAAATATTTTTTAATTTTTGACCTATTTTTTTCGTGAAACATTGTTTCCTTGTCTTTAAAATGAATGATGAAGAATGCCGAGATATGCATCACGTTATGTATCTCGTTGACGATATCTATTTTAAAATTATTTTCAGATATACAGGATAAAAAAATGCAGAAGCAATATGTTTTTATTCATCTTAAAAGTCTCATCATGTTTGACGGCATGTTAGTGTAAATTAAAGTTAGTGTGAATTTAATACAAAAGTGGCGTCAATTTCCAAAACATTAAGGTGTCGATTTTCGACTTTATAGTAGAATTGATATTGATTAATGTCATATTTCCTTTGCTAATTTGACATTGGTTAATTTTATATTTTCATTGCTAATATGACAGAATGAAGTCAAAAATGTCATGTCAAATATGTCATAGTTGTACCTAGGAACAATTCTTTAGTCGATAATTTACTCCACTGGGTATATCACAGTGACAGTGACCAGCGTGTATCGTTAGAAATAGTTTTAAAATATAGTCGTCAACGATAAGTACACCTTTCGTATTTAATAAGTATATTTTCAACAATTACGTACTAATATGGGATATCCGGCATACAGAGAGGTAAAAATAGATAAATACCTACAAAGATTCGTAAAAAAAATATTTTTTTGGTTTTAGTCCGATTTACTTTAGAGTAAAGTATCTGCGATAGATTTGTGAGAATTTTCATTACTAATGAGCGACGGAATTATTTTGAACTCGCAATTATCAAAACTTGTTTAATACCTATTAAGTAAATTACTATAGATTTGTTCTATTCTCCTCAACTATCCTAGAGTTCATCGACTATCCTAAAGTTGCGTTTCTTGATTTAATGGATATAGTATACCTAGTTAGGTATCCATTACATGAATTACCTAATATGTTTGGTTTGTCAAAAAGGAAACACAAAATATTATATTTAATATCAACTATACTATAATTATTATAAAAAAAATTATAAATTAATTTTGACAACACCGCATTTGATAATATCACAAGCTAACTTATAAATCAAGCTTTTTATTAAATACGTAATGGCCCGTTTATATATAAGAACTATTTCATGCATATTTAACAAATAAGTAAGATTCGCAATGATTTTGGGTGACTCAAACTTCTAATTTCCATTTTTATTAATGACCTATTTATCATTTATTGAAAATGGCCTACCATCACTATACTTAATAAGTTAAAGGACAGTTGTTTTGGTCAACGAAAAACAAAACTGCCAATATATGACCATTATAATTCTAATTGGATTTTAACAGGCATATTTTTATTAAGTTTTATTTACGCATGCGCGCCTTAAGCAGTGAAAGCTAAATCTTGACCAAACAGGAGCTTCTCATTATCGCACTAAATGCTAATATTAGCCATAAAATCGACAATAATGCTAATGCTTTTAAGCACCAGAAACGCATAAAGTGCCAATTCTGGCCACCGTGGCTTAATAGCATAAAATCTAATAAGCCACAAATTCTTCTTGCGTGCCAAATCACGCGCTCCCTTTTGGCCACGGTTACGTAATGATGACTACTTCTAGAAGACTTGGTGTCCAGATTTAAATGCTTATTAGCTTTGCTATTAGCACCGAAATCCACTTGCAAGCTTCTTTATGGCTTCTTGTGTTACTTGGGCACACTTCAAAATATTGTTCAGTTTTTTTGAAAGCTTGGTTTAAAATTATATAGATTTTATTTATGAAAACACATTTATGTGATATATCATGTGACACAGCGAAAAATTACAAAGTTAAAATAATTTTTAAGTATTTTGTAAAAAAAATTGCGAAACTGTCCAGATAAACAGTTTTCGAGATATGGTCAGACGCCGCCCTTAAACGGATTAAGAATTGTTATAATAATAGAAGATACCTAAATAATGGTCCGGGAAATATAGTACTGTTACCTTGAAATAGATGAATGCATTGAAACATAAATTAATGCTTTGTTTATAAAATTTAATTAAATGTTTGAGAACGTACTCGTTCTCGGTCTTCAAATAAACTATAATTTTAGATGAACAAAATTCTGTGGTTGGACAAAGAAAATTTGATCGGTTGCTTTGAAAGCGGCATCGTCGGCCAAGATTTAGAAAGGGAGTTGAAGCAATTGGGCTACACGACCGGCCATGAGCCAGACAGTTACGAATTTTCAAGTTTGGGCGGTTGGGTGGCCACCAGAGCTTCAGGTAATTACTTGTTGCCCAGTTTTCATTGTCTAATATGACTTGTTCTGGTTAGAAAATAACTCATTGAAGGATATTTACACTTCTTCTGACATTTTTTTAAGGTATGAAGAAAAACGTGTACGGCAACATCGAAGATCTGCTTGTACACGTAAAAATGGTGACGGCCAGAGGTACTTTAGAAAAAAATTGCCAGGTGCCGCGTCTCAGTTGCGGTCCAGATTTTAATCACGTAGTTTTGGGATCGGAAGGATCTTTGGGAGTGATTACGGAGGTGATATTGAAAATTAGACCTTTACCGCAGTGCAAAAAGTACGGATCCATAGTGTTTCCGTCGTTCGAGAATGGTGTGGAGTTTATGCGAGAAGTAAGTCTAGAGTGTTCCATTTGGAACCATAATACTGTTATTGTCTACGATTTTTTTTTAAATATCCGTGGACTAGATTAACTAATAATCTTATTACAGTTTCCAATTTTTTCATAATTATTCCTGAGCTATCATTCTTGTGATGAATGCTGTACATTTCGTATAATTTACAAGAATTTTTCAATTTCGTGGTATACTTATATTTTTTGTAAACTGAATTTTTTTAATGTGTCTTCTTTGTCAACAAACATGAATAAGAGTTCACAAAAATTGTAGGAAATTACATGTCTAAATTTTGTGGTTGTTTTTTATGTACTGTGAGATATCTATCGAATAATAGGATAATGGTAACTTTTTCCGATTTTCTTCAGTTTAGTCCTGGCCTATGACGCATTTAATGAGAGACCAGGAACATTTCTGAAATTTGCTCTAATATTCCTGTACCATACAGTTATTTAATTGTCGACTAATATTAATTTAATTACATTTTTAATTTTTCTCTAATGATTCCTGCACTATCAGTTCTTTGTCGAATAATGATGCTGGGAATTTATTTAAATTTTACATTTTTCATTTTCTTTTCCTCTTTTTTTTTCAAAATACATTGCTAGAGTATGAATAAGTATTACCTAACGAAATTACAGTAAATGTACAATTCTAATGTTGAGGTTGTTTTCCTTGAAATGTTATATAACATTCGAATAATAATAATAATAATAATAATAATAATAATAATAATAGTACGTGAAAATAGGTTTGCATTTTTCCGATTTTCTTAAAATTATTTATAGGGTCAGACTAGGTAATTTTCTTAAATGTACTGTAATTTTCCTGTTCTATTCGGTTATTGCCGATTATTTTTTGTAAGTATCCCCCGACTATAATAAGTAAAAATCTTATTGCATTGCCCAGTTTTTCTCCAATTATTCCTGGGCTATTACTACTCCGTTGAATAATAGCATGGTATGAATAATAGTATTGAAAATATTGCTATAATTGATTTATTTTTCAATTTTGTGGCATATATTTCTTAATTATTAAAATTCACTTTAATTATTCCAAATTTTCTTTTTAACAAATTTGGCTGAAATTTATCCTTTTGTGGTTGTTTTTCGTTTACTATATTATATCCAGCGAATAATAGTCTAGGGAAATTGCTGAATTGCATTTTTACTTTCTCTACATTATTCTTGGGCTATGACGCCTTTAGTGATAGATCAGAAACTTTTCTTATATTTACTCTAATATTCCTGACAATACGGTTATCTCCGACAATTTTTTAGCAAACTATAATGCCTAATAATGTAAATACATTTTCCAATGTTCTCTAATAATTTCTGGCCTATAACTCCTCTGTCGAATAATATTGCTGAAAATTTTGCTTTAATTTTCCAGTATTTTTCAATTTCGCGGCATACATTTCTGCACTATGAAAATTCACTTGAATTTTTCTAAATTGTTCTTTTTTGTCAACAAACATTGCTATATAAGAATTTAGGAAAATTTCAGTGAATGTACATTTCTTATTTTTGTGTTTTTTTTTCCTATGAACTGTGATATATCAATCAAATAATGGTTCAGGAAAATTGCCAACATGCATTTTTCCAATTTATTTTTTTTATTGTTCTTTGGCCTTTAGTTGAAGACTAGGTACATTTCCTAATTCTACTCCAATTATTCCTGTGCTATCACTTCACTGTCGAATAATAGTACTAAAAATTTAGACCAGGAAACTATTTTTAAAAACCGCGATATATTGCGGGCGTCTATTAGTACAGTATAAACATGACCAAAAGGCACTTGTCACGCCTCCAGGTGGCGAAAAGAAGATGGCAGCCGGCCTCGATCCGTCTCATGGACAACGACCAGTTCAAATTCGCCCTAATCTTGAAACCAGAATCAACTTACGTCGCCCTGGTGTTGGACTCGATCAAAAAGTTTTACATCACTACCATCAAAGGCTTCGACCCCGATCACATGTGCGTTATGACTTTGCTGTTCGAAGCCGACGAAGCTGATGTGAAGATTAACGAGAAGAATCTGTACAACTTGTCCAAACGTTTCGGAGGATACCCGGCGGGCGAGATGAATGGAGAGAGAGGATACATGTTGACATTCGTCATCGCTTACATCAGAGTAAGTAAATTGCCATCGAACTATTGGTTCTTCTGATTACAGTGTCTTGGCGTATTTGGAAGTTGGTGATTACATTCCTGAATATTTATCTATTCTTTTCAATGTAAAATAACTTTCCTACGTTAAAATTTGGGCATTTTTGTAATCTGGTTCTCTTCTTTTCGCCACTCTCTCCTATAGTAGTTTCAGAAGGGTTTTAGTGAGGATTGGAATTTATTATTTTTATAATGTTTTGTTCTCAACTATCTCTAGATGTCTATCGTTCAGACTTCTTTTAACCAAAACTTGTTTCAACCTATTCTACTCTACTATTTCCAGAGATCCATCATTAAGAGTTCTTGTAATATAACTATCATCCCACAACCTTCTGAAACTTTATGTAATTAGTTTCCAACACATTACCATTGCTAAGATTGCTTCAGGTGACATGCGTATCATGTTTCTTATAAGTCTTCTTCTCTTACTGAAAGTTCAATTAATGTTCCTTTAACAAAGCACAAATAAACAAGAAACAAAAACCACGAAGCAGGTTAAGCCTACTTGTGAGTCAGTATGAGTGGTCATCATGCAGCCTTCTTGAAATCTGTCTCAAGAGATTCAGGTTTTGTTTAAACATCTGCAATGACTATCGTTCAATGTTCATCGTAACAATCTCTTCTACTCAACTGTTTTCAGAGATTCCTCATTAGAGTTCTTGTAATATGGCTACCAACATCCCACGCCCTTCTGAGCTCAGTCTCCAAATCCTACCGTTGCTTCTGACGGCATGCGTATTATGGTCGCCATATTCCTTCTTTTTTTACTGAAAGAATTAATTTGTTGTTTCTTTAGGACCTCGGTCTACAGTATGAAGTTGTAGCCGAATCTTTTGAGACGTCAGTGCCATGGGACAGAGCTGTCACGTTAGCCAGAAACGTCAAATTCGTCATAACTGATGAATGTAAGACACTCGGCATCACGCACTTCCTGATAAATTGTCGCGTGACCCAAACCTACGATTCTGGTTGCGTTATCTACTTCTATTTGGGTTTCAATCACAGTGGATTGGGGGACCCAGTGGTGTTGCACAACAGGTGAGAGCGTGAACTGTTTAGTTTTTTTTCTGTAAATTTCAAATTGGTTGGTCTTTTTAGGCTAGAAACTCGAGCCAGGAACGAAATTGTGTCATGCGGTGGAAGCATTTCTCATCATCACGGCGTAGGCAAGTTACGTCAAAAATGGTACCCATCGACGGTATCTGACGTCGGAGTGGGACTTTATTTAGCAGCTAAAAAGCAATTAGATCCGAACAATATTTTTGCTACCAACAATTTAGTACCACCATCGAAATTGTAATTAAGTACTAAGGAAATAATATATGCCAATAAAACGTACCAAAAACTTATTTTTTGTTTTTTTTTTGTTACTAATAATGGTAATTTTAATTAAAAAAATATTGGTCACCTTCTGATACGAGGGGTAACCTCCAGACTCGCCCCAGATCTTACATAAAAAGATAAGGTTTCCTGGAGGGATACCTACTTCAATTTATTTACAGGCTAAATTTGTTCCTAAATAAAACAAAAAACAACACTTTAGGGTATATTAAGTTTCTCATTATCCAGGGTGTCTGTAAAAGGTCTTTACAAAAACATACCACATATTCCTTAGAACAAAATAAGTCGATTTAAGTAAAATTACCTTCGTTTGGGCTCCAGAGGGCCTTGAAGTTACAATTTTTAAATCGTTTTACCATATAAATTTAAAACGGCATATGCGATTTTGCTGAAATTTGGTATATTGGTAGTTTTATGTGGCAAAAAAATGGTATTAAAATTTTGTCCGATAATACATAGGTGTAGAACTTGACTTTTTAAATAATTGCACCTTTAAAAATTCTACGCCAATGGAAGAAAAAGAGTTTGAGTATGAAATTTAGATTGCGCAACTCATTTACTTTAAAAAAGGTACTCTTTATAAGACTCGATTACTCTCATGGTTTTGACGAAATTTGCATTTTAGTAATTTTAGAACATAAACAATAATTATTAAAATACAAACTTTGTCAAAACCATGAGAGTAAATCGAGTGTTATCAAGGGTACTTTTTTGTAGTAAATGAGTACCCAATCCAAATTTCATACTCAAACCCCTTTTTTGCCATTGGCGTAGAAGTTTTAAAGGTGCAATTATTTAAAAAATGTGTGGGCTGGAATAATTGGTAATTTCATTGTTGGTCCTGTCATACTTTCACGAAGATTAATTGGAGAAAATTATTTTCTACAAAATACGTTGCCAGAATTGTTAGATGATTTACCTCTCCAACTTCGGAGATATATGTGGTTTATGCAAGATGGAGCTCCACCACATTTTTCTTTAAACGTTAGAAACCACTTGAATGAACAATATCCACACAAATGGATAGTCAGAGGTAATGACGCACCTGTAAAAAGGCCACCACGTTCCCCAGACCTAACACCGATGGATTACTTTTTATGGGGACATCTGAAATCCACAGTTTACAGAGAACCTGTAGAAAATGAGGAACAACTCTGGCAACGTATTCAAGATGCAATAAACAATCTTAGAGGTGATGAAGAAGTTATGGAAAGGATACATTTTAATTTTCTTCAACGTATAAATCTTATAATCGAATTATTATCCCATTTGAATCTAATATTCGAATACTTGTTGGTTTCAATTTATTTAGATGATAGTTGGTTATGCGTGAAAATGGTGAACATTTTGAACAATTTTTGTAAAATCTCTATTTTGATTATGTTGTAAATAAATATTTTTAAACCTATACACTCTAAATTATTAAAACAGAAATTTAGCGAAAACCATGAGAGTCTTATCAGGAGTACCTTTTTTATAGTAAATGAGTTGCGCAATCTAAATTTCATACTTAAACTCCTTTTCTTCCATTGGCGTAGAATTTTTAAAGGTGCAATTATTTAAAAAATAAAGTTCTACGCCTATATATTATTATCGGACAAAATTTTATTACCATTTTTTTTGCCACATAAAACTACCAATATACCAAATTTCAGCAAAATCGCATATGCCATTTTAAATTTATATGGGAAAAACGATTTAAAAATTGTAACTTCAAGGCCCTCTGGAGCCCAAACGAAGCAACTTTGTACTAAGGTAATTTTACTTAAATCGACTTATTTTGGTCTAAGGAATATGTGGTATGTTTTTGTAAAGACCTTTTACAGACACCCTGTATAATGAGAAACTTAATATACCCTAGTGTTGTTTTTTGTTTTATTTAGGAACAAATTTAGCCCAGTCATGTTTGTTTATAGCCTTCATCTTTCCCAACCTTTAGTCCACGTCCTTTAGGATTGACGCTACGCATTTTCCAGGTTTTTGTTGGTTTTCTGATTAGTCCTTTTTCATATAGAACCCAGTTTGTTGAAGTGCGTGGGACTTTGAGTGTGTCGATATCTAAGTAACCTCGGCGTACCTTAAGGTTCGATTCTGGGATCGCTTTTGTTTATTTTGTACTATTCGTAAATTACATCAAGCAGACGATGTTAAAATTTTTTATCAGGTAGATATCTTAAATGATTGTCTTAAATTACAAAGTAATATTAATAAAATAAATAACTATGTATTTAATAAATAATCTTCCATTAAATTCTAAACAATGTAATATAGTGTCATATGCCAAAAAAGATTTTCCAATTCTCTATAACTTCGGATGGTATTATATTAAATAGGCCTGATTTTGTTATACGAACCCTAACCACTATATGTTCGGCCTTTTTATAATTTTATTTCCGTCATATATTAGGAAACTATCTTTTATTACAATATTTTCATTAGAACATATTTCAGTTATCTTATTTGTTTAACTGTTTTCCAAAGACCTTTAGAGCTATTTTTATGTTTATCTATTTTATTTTGAAAGTATTTTCTTTTTGCTTCTGAGACAAGTTTTGTTAATTTATTTCTATATTTTATAAATCTATTTTTTAATTCCAAATTTTCAGGGGTTTGTTTGTGTTTTGTAAAGTTCGTTTTTTTTTATTAATAGACGCTATGAGTCCGTCGGTAATCCATAACTTTCTTTTTACATCCTTTTTGTGTATCTTTATTTTATGAGAATTGTCCTGGACTAATTTTATTATATTTGTAAGCTCCTTTGTCATGCATTCTACATCATCTAAATTGCAGAAATAAGTCCAGTCATATGTTATCCAAAATTATAGAAAAAGTAATTAGTAAACAAATATATACATACGTATTTTCTCATAATATTGTAACCACTAAACAATCAGGTTTTCGAAAGGGGTTTAGTACTACAACATTACTCTTAGATTTAACAGATAACATTATAAGATCAATGGATGAAGGAAAAGCTACAATAGTTACTCTGCTTGACTTTTCTAAAGCGTTTGACACTATAGATCATCAGCTTCTTTGTGCCAAACTCAAATATTTTGGTTTCGATGAAACCTCACTAAGATTTTTCAAATTTTATTTAAGTAACCGCTACCAAAAAGTAACGTTAGAGAAATCATCTAACTTTATGTGTGTAACATCAGGAGTACCCCAAGGCTCTGTTCTTGGTCCCCTTTTGTTTTCCATATATATTTCAGACCTTTATAAATTATTGGAGCATGTAAATATACTCTTTTGCTGACGACACGCAACTATATTATTCCTTTGACCCATGTGAAGTAGATATAGCCTCGCAAAACATGAATTCAGATCTAAATGCAGTATATACATTTTCTATGAATCATAACCTTAAACTAAATGCCAGTAAATGTCATACAATATTATTTTGTCCTAAAAATATAGAACATAATGTGCAACAGAACCTTAAGTTATTCATTCAAAATGAACCTCTAAAATCTTGTAGAAGTGCCAAAAACTTAGGCATTATTTATGACTGCAAATTAAGGTTTCAGGACTATGTTTCGCTCCTAGTCAAAAAATCGTATCTGGTTATTTGTCAATTATACAGGAATCGAGATATTTTGAGTTTCAAATTACGTAAGTTGCCTTGTGAAAGTCTTGTATTGTTCATCCTAAATTATGGACTTTTAATTTACTATCCTTGTTTGGATCAAATAACCAAATACAGACTACAAAAGATTCAAAATTGTTGTTGTCGTTTTGTATTTGGAATCAGAAAGTATGATAGAATATCAAATAAAATTAAAGAACTTTGCTGGCTCAATATAGGAAATTTATTTAAATATCAGATGACGGTATTTCAAATTCTTTTAACCTCAACTCCCATATACTTAAAAAATAAATTGATGTATCGGAAAGATCTGCACAGTTTACATTTGAGATATCCACACAACTTAACGATTCCGAATTACCGATTATCATTTTTCAAAAGATCTTTCACATATAACGCCATTTCAATATATAACAGTCTACCTAGGGAAATTAGGACATGTTCTCTGACATTTTTAAAACAAAATTATAAAACGTTGCTATTAGTTGAGCAATGAATACAGTGCTAACGTTAATATATTATTAATTTCAAATATTTTTCCTTATTTAATTGTATTTTAAGTTCCATTGATTTCAGTTTAGATTAAATACAGGGTTAACATTTTTTAATCATAAATTAATTGTATATTAAATTTCTTATTTTTTTTATATTGTAAATGATGGATACCTTTTGATTATTTTAAATTTATATTTATGTTGAGGTTAAGTTGAGTATCGCAAGCTAGACTTCGCCTCATGATGTTTATGTGCATTGTATATTACAAGCAAATAAAGGCAATTTATTATTATATTATTATTATTATTATGTCTGCAACGTATCCTTAATTTTATTGTCATATGTATATATTTTTGTACGTTCAGGTGTTTTCATTTGTTTTTTATTTGGAAGAGCAATGAAGGTAGCTTTATGATCAGTTACATTAAGGTCTAGTACCGCTGATATAAAACTGTTATCCATATTTTTAATTCCCTTCACAAATATGTGATCTAGACATGTTCTCGATTCACCCTGAATTTGAGTACTTTTATTTATGGCAGATACAAAATCATTTCCAAAGACAGTCTAGGTATTCAGATGAAACTTCATTTTCAACATTAATATCAATATTAATATCTCCCGCTAAAATGTGATATTTAGCTGGAATATTTTTAGAATCATCAAGGTAGTTTCTTAAGCCTTCAATGAAGTAGATTTCATCTGTTGAGGGTGATCTGTATAGAATAGTAATTAGGGTTGGGTTATCGTTTTTATTAAAAAATTAATTTGTATTGATTTAAATATATTAATAGGGATAATTTTACACGAATATATTAACGATTTCTTAATAAAAGCAACAACTCCATCGTTTCTATTTACATCGCCTTCATTATGTTGAAATTGGGCAACTGCTCGCAGAAAAAATAAAAAAAATCAAAATTT